CAATAATTAACTAATTAATAAACAAATTAAACCTAATCATCATCATTGATCAATTGACTAATATTTAAATCTAACTAATATTATCAACTCATCAAATTCTAAACCCATTTCCTCAATGTTTTAACTTAACTTAATTAGTTAATTAATTAATTTACATTTAACTAATATTATTGTTAAATATTATCTCATTAATAATTCACAATAATAATTCACACTAAACTAAATAATAATAAAGTTTCAATCCTAGCTATATATATTATGCATCTCATTAACAATAATTAACTAATTTAACTTATTACTTAGTTAATTTCCATTTAACTAATATTGTTAAATATCATTAATTCACAATAATATATAATTCACACTTAACTAATAAAGTTTGAATCCTAACTTAAATCACTACAAATCCTAAATTATGCATTAACAATAATTAACTAATTAATAAACAAATTAAACCTAATCATCATCATTGATCAATTAACTAATATTTAAATCTAACTAATATTATCAACTCATCAAATTCTAAACCCATTTCCTCAATGTTTTAATTAATTTACATTTAACTAATATTATTGTTAAATATTATCTCATTAATAATTCACAATAATAATTCACCCATTAACAATATTATAGGTAACTAATTAATTTACATTTAACTAATATTACATTTAAACTAAATAATAATAAAGTTTCAATCCTAGCTAGCTAGCTATATTATGCATCCCATTAACAATAATTGCTAATAGATAATAATTAGTGATAATTAATAACCTAATAATTAAGCTAACTAACTAATTAATTAAATCACTACAAGTCACTAATTAATTAATCTATAATAAGCTAGCTAATACTTAAATCATCACTACACATCCTAAATTATTATGCATTAATAATAACAATAATTTAACTAATTAATATTTATATTTAAATTTAACTAATTAAATTACGTTAATAGTTTAATAATATATTGTTAATAATATGAAAATTAACATGACCTCACTAAATTACGTTAGTAGTTTAAATAAATGAACAACTAACCTCACTAATTAATTATTAAGCTAATAATTAATTATTATTATATAAAGAAAAAGAATCATAACCTCACTAATAATAATTAATTATTAAGCTAATAATTAATTTATCACACAATTAAAAGAAATTAGTTAAAATGACATACCTTATCTGCATAAACTCGGAAAATGATGAACTGACGGATTACATCATTCAATCTTTAAACCGATACTACATCACTCGAATCTACGAATTTTTGAACTGATAATTGTTGTTCTTGCAATATAATTGTAATGGACGATGGAGTTGGGTTATATAAAAAAATTTGTCACGGATTTGTCACGGATTTATCCGTGACAAATCTTTTTCCGTACCGTATTATTAAAGGTTACCGCTGGAAAATCAATAATTGAGTTTTTTTGAAATTTGTCACGGAGTTGTCACGGATTTATCCGTGACAAATGTTTTTCCGTACCGTATTATTAAAGGTTACCGCTGGAAAATTAATAATTGAGTTTTTTGAAATTTGTCACGGATTTGTCACGGATCTGTCCGTGACAAATGCCCGGAAGCAAAAAAAGTATTCACCGGAGTAAAAAACCGGTCGCCGGAGTAAATTTGTCACGGACCAAATCCGTGACAATATTTTGTCACGGCTTTTGTCACGGATAAATCCGTGACAAATAATTTTCGTGACAAATCCCAAAATTCCGTGACAAAGCCCGTGACAACTTTGTCACGACCGGAATCCGTGACAAACGGCGTGTTTTTTTGTAGTGGTGAGTTTTTTATTGTTAAAATGTGCTATTATTTTTTTCTCCTTACACGTGAGAAAGTTTATAATTATTCACTAGTACAAAAATTGCATTTAGAGGCGCCTAAATTGGCTCACGTGCGACGTTTACAATCGCCTTCAATTTTTATGCCGCAAAATATATCTTGTGGCGCTTATCAAACATAAAAGCGCCTTGATATTAAATTAAAGGGATATTTACCTAAATAGGAGTAAATAAAAGGATAATTGCAACAATAGGAGTTTAAAGTTTAAATTCCCAAAATAGGACTAACTCCTTCTATTCTACCCTTTCCTTTGTCCTTGATAATAGGATTTTTAAACAATCATTATAAAATATATAAAAAAAATCGTAAAAAATAATTAAAAAATATATAGACCTCAACCACCACCTCAGCCACCTTCCAGCACCGCCACCTCCGGTCACCGGAAAAGATTGCCAAGTTGGGGAAAAATGTCATCATGATGACAATTTTGAAGAGAAAGCAACACAAAGCTGGATATTTTCAAAGAGTAAAAATGTCATCTTTATGGCATTTTCAGAGAAATGTGGCATTTTTTACACAAGATGGCATATTTTTCCGACGACCAGAGTCGGTGGTGCTAGGAGGTAGAGGGCGCGTTGGCAGTGACGTACATATTTTTTAAATATTATTTAGGTATTTTAGTTTATTTTTTGGACTTTTTAAATTTTTTTAAATAATTTATTTATTATTTTTAATTTTTTATTTTTATTTTTTCACGTTTTCATTATTATTTTATAAATATTTTATTATTTTTTATATTTTTTTATAAATAAAACTATGATTTTCTTATTAATAAAATAAATCTATTGAATATTAGAGGAAGAGGGTAGAATGAGAAGAAGAGATATATATTAGTCATATTTTAGAAATAAAAGGATTGTACTCCTAATGTTGAATTTTGGACTTACTTTACTCCTATTTAGGGCTAATACCCGTAAATTAAACGTGCGGCCTGTTATATGCTCAAAGCGCCTCCAATGTTTTTTATTTTCAAAATGTCGGAACGGTTGAACTCATGAATAATATGTTTTTTACTCAAAGTACATAAAGAACAATTGATGTAATATATTACACCTTTCAAATTAACAACGAAAAACATCACAATTGCTATACGAATTACATACTTCTTGATATATTACTTCCTACAGTATACAACACTATCAACGAATACAAATATTACGGACATAAAATATCATGTAACAAAAAATATAAAAAAACTTATTGAACAGATCTGGAAAACAGAGATCGAAATTGAAGCAAGGAGTATGAAAACGGCGGTAGCATAGACTACGGCGGAGGCGATAGAGCCAGCAGGCAGCAGAGGTGGCGAAGGTGGCGGTTTAGGCTATCATAGGCGGTGGCAGTGGTGCTGCAGACTGCCGAAGGCGGTTGGGGGTGACGGAGACTACGGCGGCGGCGAAGTGGCTCATATGCGCACTCACTTTTGTATGAACTCTTCTTCTCTTCTCCGAATATATCCCCTTCTCTGTGCTCTCGTTCAATCTGATGCGGCTAGGGCTCCTCTTTGAATAAGGATGATGATGTTATGAAAAACACATAAATCTAGAATCTGAATGGGCCTCTAAAAACTACAGTTGTATGGATTATATTAGAATAACAATAAAATCAAGGCGCTTAAAACCAAACGTCACCAAAGGATAAAATTAAATAAAAATTGAAATCGTAGAGACCATTAAAGATCAAAGCGCCGCACGCCTAGAACGATATCATGTAAGAAACGACGCAAACCATTTTCTAATTTTATTGCGACGCTTATTTAATAGAAAGCGCCGCATGTCTCTATCTTTTTTTCAATCGAGGCTGTTTTAATAAATAGCGCCTCTAAAATAGCGCCTCTGAATGAAGTTTTTCCGCTAGTGATTAGAGTTTTCTCTACAATTGTATAAGCATGAATATTGTTAGGGTATAACGGTCCTGAGAAAATGTTTGTGTCATTTTAAGGTTTCAAATAACAGTCTTTTTTGTTTGCCTATTTATCAATATCCCTACAATGGTGTTGGGCATTACCACGAACGCGCAACACGCGTTACATAATTAGTATATATATAAATCGCAGTTTTTGTAAAGAATTTATTTGACTGCCCTCCGGATTGAATTTTTAGGTGAAATTTGGTATGGATAAACTAGACTTGATGAAGAACATGCTCAAAAATATTCATTAAAAAATTCCACCGGGAAGGTCCCCAAATGGCATCAGCCGGACAGCGGTTTCCATCAGGCCGGCCTGACAGGAACGGGACTCAACAAAGAGTGTTTCTTAATATATATATATATATATATATATATATATATATATATATATATATATATATATATATATATATATGTATGATTTTTATCAAATTTGAATTTTCTTTTTCTGACTTTGTAAATTTTTAAAGTAGTTTCTGAATATGAAAAAAATATTACTAAAAATAATTGAGATGTTGACGGAGACTGATTTGCTATATAAAATGATAACTTCTTTATCGGATGGAGGGAGTATTCTTCTAAAACAATTCAAAATTTGGTTTAAAGAAAACTCAATTTTAAGAGAAGTCATACATACTGTTTTAATATTAAATGATAACTTCTTTATATAAAATGATAACTTCTATATAAAATGATAACTTCTATATAAAATTGAGTTTTCTTAAAACCAAATTTTGAATTGTTTTAGAATAATACTCCCTCCATCGATGGAGGGAGTATTATTCTAAAACAATTCAAAATTTGGTTTTAAGAAAACTCAATTTTAGGAGAAGTCATGCATAATGTTGTAATATTAAGAAACACTCTGTGACAAAAATTGCAATTTAATAATCAATTCTTTATTACGATAAGTTTCATGTGGTTACAAAGGAAAAAGTAATGTAAAAAGTATTGATGGATGTGTGCATGTTAAACTCTTTATCTTCAAATAATTTTATAAAATGCTATATATCCTTTTTTATTTTCAAATAATTCTGTTTTGATTTTTCATTTCTTACGCTATAATGTACCGATACTTTTTTCTAGAACACTTCAATTATAAAATCAAAGTTATTTTTTCATTGTCTTAACTTAGAATGTAATAGATTTAAATGACGTGGTGTATGCATCAATGATTTTTTTAACATAAAGAATAGCCGTAGAGCCTTGAGAAAAAAAATAGCCAAGAAATTTGGCCGGTGCACAAATTTCGTCCCATACACCGAGGACCGTATTAGTTAGCCGAATAGCAAAAAATGTGTGGAAGCGAAGGGGACAAGGGGCGAACTGCCATTCTACGAAAGACGGAAGTGCGAAGGCCGAAGGGCGTAACGAGCAACGAGGAGCTGACAACTCTCCGTCCCCGGTCTTATTCTTGAGTTGTTGCGGCGGTGCGGCCTGTGGACTCCAGTCACGACTCTCGCCCCTCATCCATTGCCTTGGTAGTCGGGGTAACCTGCTAAGCCTAACCTCACATTTTCTTTTCAATTACAAATTAAGTTGCTGTTACTTGTTTATTTATTGAAAATAAGAAGTAATTCAATTGATAATAATTATATTGATCAATTAAGAAATTGATATGGTGTTTCATGGTTCCCCCCCAAGTATTTAGTCCTTTATGACACACAACTTATGAAGCTCATGATTAAGTTGAGATTTGTGCAAGAGTTGGTAGTGCATTTGTCACCCCTAATGGGTTATAGGAATTTTAGGGTTCGCTTATGACGATCAACCAACCATTGAACTTCGCTTTCTGGCATTCCTTTGATCTCGAAAGCACTTTAATAAATAATCCAGTATTAGTACGATTAGCCACCACATTTGCAAATCGATCGCTTATATCACCAGAGCCCAATCGTATTCAATTTAGTTGAATGAATATTTGAATTGGAGATTGTACTCGTGTGCTCAAATTGTCACATTTAATTCTAAAATGTCTATCTTAATTTCACAAACTGAGAAAGTTCGAGTTTTCCCAACACCTAATTTCTTATAACTTTGTTGTCTTTTTTTGTCTTAAAACATTTTCCATTTTTCGTATTAGTTATTTAATTTGTAATCCATACCCTCGATTATGTTAAGGTTTGCTACATTTTCATTTTGGGATGTATTTAAATGTTTGATACATTTTCTCCTTTTTGATGAATTTTACATTTAGATATACTCAATGACCATTACTTTTTTACTTTTTATTTTGTCTTTCATACGTTTACATCATCTCTCCTACTTTTTCTGGATTATTCATTACGTATACGGAACCTAGTATTATTTCTCTAAGTTCCATTTTGTCAATAGTTAGGACATGGTGTTTCAAAAAAAAATGAATAGTTTTAACATTTTCAATAAGAGATTTTCGGCGCTAAAGTTTTTGGCGAAATCCCTAAAATGGAAAAACGCTGTAAATAGCAACATTTGGGTTAGCGTTTTGAAATATAGTCTTTTCTACCAATTACTATGACCATATACCTAAATTACTAAATACTACATCCGTATCGTTGAAAGGTTTTCATGTCAAAACGGCACAATCATTTAGACAATAATTAAATAATGTAGTTCGAGAATATTTTGAGAAATAATTTTAATAGAGTTCATGTTGAAAACTGTAATATCATAAATGTATAATTTTTAATATGAGGAAACGGTCCAGCCTAGCTGGTCGTCAACTCACTCTCCCTTATGGGAGGTATCGGATTCAAAACTCAATGTGGTGAGTTTCAGCCCTGATTACTCCAGGCCCCTCAAACTCCCTCCCCCAGAAGCCTTCCGGAGTAAAAAAAACATTTTTAATATTTAATTATTAATTTGTCATTTAAAATTGTTATATTAACTGCGATGGAAATTAGAAGTCAAAAAAGGAAAATGGAAACACAAAGGGTAGTACATCGTATATTTTTATTCATTTGAATTAACAAACCGCTAAATACCACCCTTTGATCCATTTGAATTCCCTTTTGGAACCGTGTTTATTTATTTATTTATTAATTTGTGATACATACATACACCCTTAAAGATGCAATTCACTACTAATTAGTTATTTCTTCGAGGGAGGGGAGTCGGGAAGCACTAAGCTTGGTACGGACGGCGGTGTTGATATGAACGGCAAAGGCTCAACAGGTGTCTCCAAAGGAGGCGGCATAACAATTGCGGGCGGCTGTTCTGGAATCTCTGGCGGCGGAGTAAATGTTGATGGCAGTGGCAGTGGCAGTGTCCATATAGGCTCCTCCTGCGGAGGCGTAAGTATGGGGACAAGTGGTGGTGCCGGCGCGGACAGATCGGGAGGTAAAGTTACTGGTATTGGCGGCGGAAGAAACATGAACGGCGGAGGAGATGGGACTATCTGGACAACTGGTGGCGGTACTAGCCATGGGAGTGTGAGCTGCGGCGGTGGTGAAAGATCTAGTGGTGGGGGGTAGATTATCAACGGCGGCAGAGGTATTGGTGGAGGAGGCGATGGAGGTGGGGGAGACGGAACTAGGGGAGGGGGAGGTGATGGTGAAACTGATGGCCGGGTGGGACATGGAGGGGGAGACGTGACGGGCGGAGGAGGCAGTGAAGGGGAACATTGCGCAGGTGGCGGCGGCGGTAATGGAGGAGGGCGGGGGCGAGTAGGGGGAGACGGTAAGGGACATGTAAAGGGATTATTATTGGGGGAATAAGGCCATTGCCCGCAGCTTCCGAAAAGGAACAAATATAAAGGATCACAACCAGATCTGTGGCGGGGGCGGCGTCCCCTCCGCCTCCTCTTTTCTCCTCCTTCCCATCCCCCGCTCCTGCCTTCACCTAATACTGCACACATCACCATCATCATCATTAACAACGCTAAAATCACTACCCTCGCCGCCTCCATCTCTATTTTCTCCCTTTCTTCATTGCCAAACTATATTGGGGAATAGCTGCCTTACAAAATTTGTTCCTTAAGATAAAGAAGAAATTTGAAGTACAGTAATGGCGGCACAAAAACCGAGATGATTGGAACACTGATCGATGATGAAGAATTCAATGGAAGGAAACATCTTGCAGTTGATACAACCATTATACTCCTCCGTTAAATTCACATTTTGACTTCACACAAATTAAGGAAAAAAATTTAACTTTACGGTAGTGTACATTGTTGTGACACTGTTTGACATTGTTTAGCATTGTTTTGCACTGTTTTGATATGGATAATTTGCCAAATAAGGAAGGGACAAGAAGTGTGAAATTTATTTTGGACCTAACAAAAAAGGAAAGTGTGAATTTCATTTGGCACCGGAGGGAGTACAAAACTTGAATTGAATGCTTATACGGGTATATACGTACATACACACGTGCACCCATGAAATTCATCTTGGGGAGGGCGGTAATAAATAATTTAAACAAGGGAAAATTATTAGGGAAAACTGTCAATTACACCCTCGTACTATGGGCGAATCCTCAATTGAGTCCTCCTACTTCGACAACCTTCAATTGAATCCGCCAAGTTTCCAAAATCAATCAATTAGGTCTACATTACCGGTTGGTTCCCGGTTTGCCGGTAATTGACTCTAACTCCATACCCAGAAGATCTGAAGCTACAGCTCATTTCCACGCAGTTCGTTGAATTGAGTCCCAGAGACGGCAATTCCTGCTTCGCCACGCTTACCAGATCGCCGGTGCTCCCCAGGAACAGGGCGATGGCCGTGATTTTGACGGTTTTGATGCCCCGCTTCTTATTGACGGTTTTCGACTGCAAGAGGAGGCGGACGAAGAGGCGGCTGTCCATGGTGGTAACTGCCTTCTGGAAGTCCATCACCACCCCCGTCCCGTTCTGCTCCACCGTCTTCTCCACTCGGAAATACGTCACCTTCGTCGGAACGGCAACCAGTTCGATTTTGTACGCCAGGATCACCCCGAAGCTTGCGCCGCCGCCGCCACGGATTGCCCAGAACAAATCCTCCCCCATGCCTTTCCGGTCCAGAATCGCCCCGCATCATCAGAGCATACATCCAAAAATGTATGCGAAGGGGAAGCCACACAGGTGGTGGCCGGAGGAACCGGCCAGGAAGAACCAAAGAAAGAGAAAAGAGAAGAGGAAGAGAAAAAGAAAAAAGAAAAGAGAAGAAAAAAAATCAAAAAAAAAAAATCAATTGAAGGCAAGCAACCGGCAAACCGGGAACCAACCGGTAATGTAGACCTAATTGATTGATTTTGGAGACTTGGCGGATTCAATTGAAGGTTGTCGAAGTAGGAGGACTCAATTGAGGATTCGCCCATAGTACGAGGGTGTAATTGACAGTTTTCCCAAATTATTATTAGCCCCTGAGGTTATATCATTAGGTTATCAATCTCAATCGTTTTCATATTAAGTTTATTGCTACTATCGGGTTAATATACGACGTGTGTTCTATATTTACTCGGTAGTAAGTTTTATCAATGAACACGTCTCGTTATTAATAATTACCCTCGATGAATTGGATATACTCCTCGAACGAGAATGACATTTGACAAGTGAAGACTACTAACACTTTTAGAGCCGTTTCGTGATCCTCTTTTTCGGCATCAAGCTTATCAGCCAACTTTTTCATCAAACACGTAACTTTTGATTTCGCACGTTGAATTGTGTAACAATGAGAAAAAGTAAGGTTGGAGTTCCTTTTCACGTAGTATTGGCTGGAGTTACTGTAAAAGACCATTTTACGTATTTTCCATGCATTTTTTTCTTTTCTTTATTGATAACATTTTAATTTATTCCCCATAAATCAGAAGAATCAGCCGATTTAGTCGATTTCAGCGTTACCAAATGTGCTCTTAGAGTCACTTTAGTAAGACTGAAATTGTTGAATTGATTGATTCTATTAAAATTTATGAAGTTCTAGATATTGGTTGATTCTGATTTATTATGAACATTTATATTTAGAATATATTTTATTAATAAAATATAGAAAAATTCATATAAATATGGCTAAAATGGTCTTTTACAATAACTCTAGCCAATAAGGTAAAAAGGAACTTACTTATGTTGATTATTACACAATTAAGTGAGCGAAATCAAAATTTATGTGTTTCATGAAAAAGTAAGCTGATAAGGTTGATAACCCGAATAGTTTAACGGGTCTTATAATGTCATGCACTATAAAGTTCGCATATTCCCGTTGAATTGATGGAATATCTACGAAAATGCAATCATTTTTATTTGATGCTGGCATGTTTTACCCAAAATAAAAAATGTGTATCAAACTCGCTTAGAAATGTTCATCCACACATATTTATGTTAAACATTATTCTCATTAGAACTACTTTATATATATATATATATAATATGTATAATTTGATTCCAATGAAAACAAAAATTAATCATGGCAATTGATGGAAAGAATGGGCGAAATGACCGAATTTTTGTGGAAAACACTCATAATGACATCACCATGCATGTGTACTTCCACTGTCATCTCCACTTCCCCTCTGGGTTGCTTTTGCTCGATCAGCCACCGTATTCTCAACTTCCTTCTGCTTCTCAATGTCTCCAACCGCACTACAATAATGGTAATTAAAACCCACTGATCGAAGCTCTTACAATAATATAATTGTGGTTGCTTCTATATCAGCATCATTATTTGTCCCGTGCTTATCTCCTTTCTCCAAAACCAACCGGCCACTTATTAATTCCACCACTACTAGCCACCGTATCTGTTTCCTTTCATCCACAGACTAAATTCCTTAATTTGCTCTAAACTCGGCTGTCCGAGGAGAATCTAAGGATCGAAAAATTGGGTAGCAAGCTTTGATAAGTAATCCCATTCGCTTTCTGAACCTTCAAACTAGTTTTCATCCGGAATGACCGACCTTCCTAGATTATATCAAATAGATTTTGCCACCTTTACGGTCAAAATTGAATCCAGAATTCCGAAAAAATATAAAGGAACTTTTAATTCATGCAATACCGTACCACAGTTCTGATCATAAAGCCACTTCAATAACACGCCTCACACCTCGTTACCAGCTCTGATCTTCTAGGTCTCCAAATATATCCCTCAACGATGCCAATTTAATTCACTACCTATCTCCGAGTGCTCTTCTAGGTCTTGAAATTACTTAATTGCCATTGTATTCTATGAATTAATTAATTTATTGAATTACAAAATAAGTACAGTATATTTAATGAGCCATCAAAGTACATTTCGGTGAAGTTCTATTTAGAAAGAAATTTTAACCCATTTAATGTATCTTTCATTTTTTCCCAATAACTAAATACAAGAGGCCGGGGGAACTTATAGCCAATTCAACATCAATTAAACTTGACTTAAGCAGCCAAACCGATAAAAAAATTAGAAAAATTTGAAAATAATAATCTCAATTATTGCAGTTTGCTAACAATAATCCTAACTATTCATTTTTGTGTGTGTAATCTCAATTATGGATGTTTTTACTTGGACTGTAATTCGTTCCAGACCAGACCAGATCAAACCAGACCAATTCAGACCAGACTTGGACCAGACTAGACCAGTACAGACCAGACCAGACCAGATCAGACCAACAAATTACAGTCCACGTAAAACATCATATATGGACCGTCCGCCAATAATGGTCCATGACCGATTATTACCTGCTACAACAGCTCAAGTTTAAATAGAAACTAAGCGTATTCTATAAATTAACTCAACTTTTTTACAAAATGTAGAAATCTTTATTAACATTTCAAATTTTGAATTTTATAAATGAAGTTTTAACTAAATATAAAAAACGTATTTCATTTTAGAAATAAAAAATGTTACATTTTACTTTTTAATTTTATTTTCAGAAAAAACAATTAAATTTTTGATGTATAATCATTTTTGGATTCTTTTACAAATTCGTGATTTTTTTCATTTTAACTAATTTAAAATGATTTAATATTTTGGGATGATTATCTTTTTAAAGTTTTTAATATTTTGAAAAAATGTATTAGTATATTTATCTTTTTCGCTTTCTTAATTTTAAAAGTCGAGGTTTTCATTTTTTAATTTGAATTTGTACTTAATTTGAATTTTATTTTTCCTTAAGGGTTTTTATATTGACCTTTTTACTCTCCTTATTTCTATAATTTATATTCGTTTTATAGTTATAATATCTTAGATGTTATGAAATTTTAATTTTGAAATTTATTTAATTTTTCCCATATTCTATAATTATATATTTTATATTCTATAGTTCCACAGAGTACCTAAGAAGGTTAATTAAGTAAAAATAAATTTTTATAATCTTTTTTACCCTTTCTATCTATTTATTGAAATTCTATTTTAAGTTTTTGGGTACAATAGAAGTCGACAAATGATAGTTCGAATTATTATAATATGATTTTTCTTTTTTTTAATTTACTGAACAGGTAGCCGATCATGCCGAACCATTATTGACAGAAGATCCCTAAATCAAGTTGAGATTATTCTGAAATAATCGATATTTGCGATTATTATAAGTGGACTGCCAACAGTTGAGATTACTAGTATCAATTTTTCCAAAAAATTAAAGCACAATGAAAGCTATATGAAAAAAACTAAAAAGTACTCTTCAAGCAATTCATCAACTAGAAAAAGTAAATACAACCTTATTTATTTTCATTATTGCATATTTTTTTGCGCGAAATCTAAGGTTTGTGTTTGATAAAGAATGGATCAATATCCCAATAACAGTTGTTTTCCATTTGGGGAAAAGGTGATGGATTTTTGGGATCACGTCCTCAAGGGAAAATTACCTTCAGAACATTTACTAACACCTTCCAGTGTCAGTTTGATATTCCTGTTCCAAAGACGATAATAGTATCCAATAAGACTGTGTATTCTAGGACTATGAACAAAAGTCAGGGACAATCATTGTCTCGTGTTGGTTTGTTACATTGAAAGTAACTTTCAATGAAGGCGATCATACAAGCAATGAAATTTTGAATGTTGTTTATAAAGAAGTTTCTCAAAATCTCTTACATGTATGTAATTTTCTGGACAATGCATTTAATTGTATTTCAAACGTAATCCAAGAATATAACTCGCTTTATATAACTCTTTATGGTTCAAATTTAATGCTTTAGTATGTAGTATAATTTTCTCTAACTATCATTTGAAAATGCATTTGATATATAATATATTTTCGAGTGATTGATTTTTTGGCTAACATCTGTTTAGAAATAATTGCCAAGTGTATGATGCACGGGTGGGTGACTCACTACTATGACTTAGAATATCACTTTCTAACTAAGGGTACATTTGCAACTTTACATATTAAATCTTTGCACGTGAAGTGATTGAATGCAAATTTAGGGAATCAATCACTTTGCATGTAAATAGTACCACACTACCTGACGTAAAATACTTTGGACGATTCAATACAACATATTTTTTTTAAAATGTTCTACAGTTTCTTCAAGAATCAATAGTACCATATTGATGCAATTCTTGTATACTGTCACTTAACCGTTAAGAAATAGAAATATGTTTAACCGTTATTATGTTTGATCATTGACTGCTAACACATAAAAATATTATATCAAACTAATAAATATTTAACACTAAACAGGTAAACAAATTTTAACAAATTAAACATGAAAAAAAAAACAATTCTCAAGAAGAAAAGCTCGATTGCACATATGCTCGTAGTACCACGTGTAGCAACCAATGTAACAATTGTTTGATATAACAATAAATCATAAAGAGGTTAAGTTTGTTGATCATTCTCCAAATCTTGAGTTTTCTAATTACTAAAAATAAATGTAGATGCTTAAGCCTCAATTATTAGTGTAGAACTCCGCATTGCAAGCCGGACTACATTTGTTTCAATTATTTATTTAATTGTTTTTGTCATATTATGATCTTATTTTCGAAAAACGTTACGTAGTATGTTTTAGTCCTACCATGAGTCATTTAATTCTTTTTAAACATTAATTAATTAATATTGTTCCCTAATTTAAACATTACATTTCTAACCCTAATTTAATTAATTAATATAATTAATTGTTCCCTAATTCTTTTTCATAACTAAGGTAAATCCGTTGGGGGCACATCGAGCTCCGGTGGCGGATGGCGGCAAGATTCTGGAAAATCGTTGACGGTGATCTTGTGAAAAAAACGGCGGCCAAGGGTTCGGATTTAAAAGTCTACAAACTCTTTTAAAATGTTACGACTTTTTCGTGGATTTATGCAAATTAATAGAATTCATTCGTTAAAAATTGAGGGCAAGTTCACAAATTTAAAAACTGATCCGTTCAAAAATAAATTAAAAGTTGATGGACATTTTTAAAGTTCATTCATCAAAAGAATACACCACAATTCATATACTCTCTCCGTCCCTTAAAACTTTGTCATCTTTCCTTTTTGGGACGTCCAAATTTTTTTTGACACTTTCCCTTTTAATCAATTATTTTGTGTTTTCTGGTATTTTTCTCTCCTCTGCACAAACCTCTGTCACACAGTTTTTACATTATTATTCTCCGTATCGGTCAACTTTTGCAAAATTTTAAGGGAGGGAGGTAGTAGAATAGATCCCTTTTAATAAAAAAGATTGATAAGACTAGAATAATGGTTCTAAACATGAACTTCCATCCCGAATCACAGTACTCCGCATCTTTTTACTTCTGGGCCTCAGCCACTGCTCAAGAGTGAAAGCACAAAAAAGACACTGAATCTTATCACGACCGAGCGCATGACCTTTGGTAAAGTGTGTCGAGCATTCAATTCTTGAGACCTCTCGCGCTTCAGGTGAACGTGTCTGACAAGTATGGGTATGGCGAAGCTAAAGATAGCAGGGGCATGGAGTGGTGTACTGGAGATAGAACCGGAGGAGTGGACGATTGCTATGCTGAGGGAAGAGGTTGTCCGGAGATCGGGCTGCGTTCCGCCGGAGTGCATAAACCTCATCTCTGCTGGAGTGTTGCTGAAAGACGGTGGTGACACGGAGAAACTCAGCCAATTGGGCATAAAAAATAATGCCAAGATTTTGGCCTCTAAGGTTTCTCCAGATAAAGGCAAGTTGATCCAGGAGGAATCTTTGGCGGAAGAGGAACGCTCGTCTAGACTTTCTAGGCTCAAGTTAGTGCTCACTGCTCTGCTATATATAGTCTGTCAATATGCTTAATGGTTATTACGATTCATGTTGTGTGAATTGGATTGGATGATCAATGTTGAACGTTGGTTTCTTGGAAGTTGCAAGTTTTATTTTATGTCATGATCAAACACCATATTTTGCCTGTGTGAATTTCCAAGATAGATTTGTTGCTTGGGTTATTTTTATAAATTGTATTGTATAGTTATTGCTCGAGTTATTTAAGATAAAAGGGGAGACTGTGGGTTAACGAGAATGCTACAACAGCTATCCCTATACTTATTTGCTTTGTTCTGTAAGACTCTGTTTGGTTGGAAGGTTTTTGAGGGGAAGGAAAGGGATGGATATTTATAATTTTGCTAATTTATTTTTAGATGATTTTGAAATAGTGAGAAGATGTTTTTTTTATAGAAATACATTATTTAACTAAAAAAATTGTTCTTTTGTACTCTAAGTGTCTAAGACTTGTAAATAAATAAAATTTTGTATAATGAAAATAAATCCTCTCATTCATCCCGTTTGAGAACCCTCAACCCAACACATCCTAAGTGATCTAAGATTTTTCTTTTGTATCTAGGGTGGGTATTCACAGGTATCATTTATAGCAGTTAATTTATAGCAGTTAATCCTGTTGAGAACATCGCATTATAGCTATTTCCAGTTTGGTGAAAATTGCCATGAAGGATGTTTTCTTTTGGACTGAAATTTGCTAGTCTGGTCTAATCTGGTCTGGTTTGGTCTGAACTGGTCTGGTCTGGTAAATGTCTGGTCTCTGTGTATTTTATAACTATGGAAGTCTGGTCTGATCTAGTCTGGTTTAGGACCAAAAACAGTCCAAAAGAAAACATCCTAAGTTTCCACTTGGTATGTTTTCCATAGGAACTGACAATCTTGCTGACATTCATCTGTATCATTGGTTATAATTAATTCCTCAAATCTGAACTGAAGAAATTTAAAGTGCAAGACACGAAATGATTATAGAATTAAGGATATACGTAGTATGAGTCATGGTTATGAAATCGGATTTATAATCTATAGTATACTATCATGTTCTTGTATCAGCAATCAATAAGTCATCCCTAATTATTTCCATTAGTTTTTTATATATTGTGTAAGCCTGTTTTTCTCTCCCTCTTCTGGCAATCGGTACTATATTCTGGCAAGCAGTAATAATACTGCTTAAATTGTAGAGCTGCTGCTACTTCATTGTCCCAGAGACATGCAGAGGGCACATTACCTGTTGAAGACTTCAACTTAGAACTTGAAAACCAGAGCGGAGAAAAAGTGCAGCTTGGATCTGATACTGATCAGAGGTATCAATAAGATTTTATGTGGCAGATGAAGCATTAGTCTAGTTATGCTTTCTATATACTTGTACTCCATGATGGCTTTCCACCTTATTTGGCAGGGCTATTATGATGGGTCTCATGCTACATGCTAATGGAAAAGCACTGATCAGAAAGCAACAGTTTAAAGAAGCACTTGAGGTTCTCACAATGGGAGAGGTGGGCATGTGGAACTTGTCATAATTGAGATCTTTGCTGAATGCCTTGTATGCCTTCGATTTGGATTATGATTGGGTTTCTTGCATACACCCATGAACTAATTATAATAATGACTTGTTTGGTTACTCATGTTCTGGTTAAAGTATAGTTTGATGTCGATTAAACTTGGCAGAAAAAATAACATTACCATATTTTAGGTTTAAATATGATAAATGTTTAGCCTTCAGTTGATTTTAGTATATCAGTAGCGTTGTCGAACATCTGTTTTATTACATCATTGCGGTGGCTTCTTACTCTTCCAGTTTCCGGTTCCTAGACACATTAGTTTTTTACAAGTTATTTCCCAAATTGCATAATAAAATGGCGTTTATCCTTTTACAGGAAGCCTTCGCTCTTTGCAATCCCAAGGTTATTGAGGTGAGCGATCATTTCATTTTCCTACATCAACTCACGGTTTACAATCCTCTTGATGTGTGTTTTTGTGGAAATGGCTGAGATCTTTTCTCAAGCCCGCTTTGCTTGTAATCTATAAATTTTTTGTTTTTCTTGCTGTGAAGTTGTGCCTTTTCATTTACCTGGCATGTATATGTTACATAGAACACTGAACTTCATTTATAGTTTAATACTCCCTCCGTATCAAAATAACTGTCTCATTTGCTTTCTCACGTATTTTAAGATAATTATTGTAGACTTTACAAAAAATAAGAGGGTTTCTACTGTACTGTAGCTGCTTTTAGGGTTGATTTCTTTCCAAAAAGGGAATTGGGACAATTGATTTGATACTATCCGAAAAGGAAACTGGGACAATTATTTTGATATAGAGGGAGTAATATATAGTTATCCTTAAATTGCTACTTGAAAAAAACATTGCAATATTATGGCTTTTGCTTTCAGATGGTTGATAATGTAGCCATTCTACAAATAGACTTGGTGTGGTGTTACTACATGCTGCAAGACATCAAGTGGCTATTGGATGCAGGGCCCCGCCTTGCAAAAGCTCGGGAAGGTCTCGAGCGTGCTCATGGTAAGGAAGCTAGTCGTGTCAGACTTCTTCAAGGTGGACGTTATCCGGAGATTGCGCTGTGAGTGTCTTCTTCATGCATATATTATCAATTAATTTAGTATTCATACAGAGCCCCTCTAGTCAAAACGGGCTTTAGGGGATTTGAAATCATATATTGTCTTGATTTAGCCTTTTTTGTTACTATGTATTTAATTCTTGCATCTAGACATGTACGGATGGAGCTGTTGGAAGGAGTTGTTGCATATCACTGTGGCCAGTTAGAAAAATCTAGACGGTCTTTGAGTTCAGCCCAAGCCAAATATATCCAGGTCAGCCCGAGTTACTCTTTGAATCAGGCAATGCTCTCTTTGTTTTTTCCTTGCCATCTTTTTTTTCAATGATTCTTTTTCAATAAATGTTTTCTAAATATGCGAGCTAGTACTCTCATGTTTTACAGCATCATACGATTTTAGCTTTTACTTTTATGTCATTCATCTATTTATGTTGTCTCCTCTTTGATTTATTCATTCATGTTGTTCTTGATTCTATCATCTTTATTGCCTATTGAAATAGTTTATTTTTCTTCAAATAGCTACAAATTCCAGACGAAGCTTTGTCATTAATTATGGGCATGGGCTACAAAGAAAGAGATGCAAAGAAAGCACTGCGGATGAACAATCAAGATGTTCAAAGTGCTGTTAATTTTCTTATTGAGGAGAGAGAGAAAGCAGCAAGGAAACGAGAAGAGAATCTTAGCAGACAAAGAGAACTCTTGTGGGTTAATCTAATTTCCAGTACCCCTGTGTTTTTGTTAGATTTTTTTCAAGTCTGGGATTCTAAGCTTTGTGTGCCATGGATTTCAGGGAGCAAAGGCGTTACGGAATGACTGCTCTAAAAAAAGCAGTGAATCTCCAATATCTGAATGAATTGGTTTCAATCGGGTAACTGTGTGATTTGGAGTGGCTTAATTTCTATTTTTAGAACTTATTATATTTATTTATTGATATATCAACATATGTTCCCGGGAAGGAATAATGTATACTAATAAGTTGAAGCCCCCCCCCCCCCCCCCCCCCCCCCCCCGAGATTGTGTACATTCCTAAACATATTCAAACATTGTTGTTATCGTATAAAAGGTAAAAATAATAATTGAGAGTTCAAGCATCACTATATATCATTTCATTGTCCCCCCCTGTAGGTTTGAGAAAGAGATTGCTGCAGAGGCACTTCGCAGAAATGAAAATGACACACAGAAGGCCCTAGATGACCTGACTAATCCAGAAACTAATTCTGCTATCCAGGTAAAAACATACGTCTTGTAATATCATTGTGCATGAAGAATTGGCATGAATAGCACTGCATGCCCTGATGCCCCTGTAAGACTGTAAACACTAAACATTTTCGTTTACGCATGTATGTGTATATATGCATGTATATATCCAGCATCACATTGAGCTAAACAAAAAGAAAAGATTGCGCCAAGTAGAGAATGCTACTATTGAACAGCTTGCTGCCATGGGCTTCCCAAGAGAAACAGGTTGTTGTTTTTATCTAGCACCATATAATGCTAACTTTATTATCAGCAAGTAATAAAGTAATTGACCTTAATAGAAGTAAAACATAGAACATTTCCCTAAATAGGAGTCCACCTCTAAGCCTCTAATCTTCCCTAAATAGGAATAAACATTAATTTTCTACCCTAATACCTTAATCAAATTAATTAATATAATTAATTGCCCCCTCTAGTTCCTTTGGGAAACCGGGTCAGTCCGTTGGTGGCAGGGCAATCCAGTGGTGGAGGATGCGGCGGCCGGCGGCGTCGCAAATCTGGAATTCTTTTTGCCGCTGCCGGAGCTCCGGCAGCGGCAGAGGCGGCAGTAGAACTGTGCTCTGTAGCAGTGGGTAGTGGCAAGGCTAATACCTGCAGGGGTATTCTTGTCTAAACACAAAATAAACTCCTATTTTGGGAACTTTAAACAACTATTCCTATTTTTGCCTTTTCATCATGTTTTACTTCTATATTGGGAATTATATAAGTAGTATTGAATATTGATATGGCTCTCAGACATACAACTTTGTAGTTTGAAGAAGCTATTACAGCGCGCATATATATAGATAAAATAATGGAATGGAACTAAACCTGGTAGGAATAGGAAGCTATTATAGTACTAACACTATGATAAACTATATTTTTACTAAAAACAAATTTTATTTGTGCAAAAGCCACAAGGTGGTGCTTTATCTATTTACCTATTTATTATAACAAAACAAGTTGTAATTCAGTGACCACAGCTGTCCGCAAATTTGGGACAAGAGAAGCAGCATTAAATCATCTACTAGGGCCATCATCGACGAACAGTGCTGCAACAGTTGGCAATGAATTTGCTTCATTTCTGTCTGGTCAAGGTGAGAATTTGAGCAGCGACGGTGGGGCTAATCCTGTGGATGCTGGTGCACATGCATCAGGTAGCAATGCAGTTGTAGGTGAGAATGCTTTTGGAGGTCCAAGTGATATCGAAGGAGCATATGAGAAACGTGACGTGGAAATGGAGAATGAGCTAACTGGTGAACTGTTAAATGGAGATGCCTACTCTGACTACGACCTTGAGCTTACGAAAGAAGGCGAAGCAATCACCCTTTATCTGACTTCGCTAGGATCTTCAACCTGAATGTGTCCACCTGTCCATATATTTCATAATTTTACTCATCAGTCATGCAAAGTGTCACTGTAGGCCCGGGCGGAGTGAAGGGGTCAAGATGGTGAGCTGACCCCTCTCAAAGTCTGAACATGTACATCATTTAAATACCTTTGGATTTGATATATTGTGACTTCCGCAACTCACTATGAGTCAAAAGTTATGACTCCCGCAAGATCAATGTCATGTGTGAATTTGAAATGGATTAAATTTGTTGCGTACTAGTGTACTACTAGTCTACTAGTCACATCCCCAATTTTCCAAAACAACACCTTATTCGCTATGTCAAGTTTAAATGGAGTATTATACAAGTACTTGCTTCTTTCGTCTCTTATAACTTTGCTAATTTTTCATTTTTGGATTGTTTCACTAATTGTGACACTTTTCCTTTTAAAAAATTGTGGTTCTGGTTAATTCTTCTCTCTCCTCCACAAGAATGCCAGCTACATAATATTTATTTCATTATTCTACCTGCTAGTCAATTTTAGCAAAGCTATAAGAGATAGAGAAAGTATTACATAGAATAGCTCTTTTTTATACATTGGAAAAGAAAATTAATACCTCTCTATTTAATTTGAACTAACATTAGTCTCATTTACTTATAAATTATTCAACTCAAGGCCTCAAGCATTATCTCAAAACAATACTACCTTTTGATGTTGTACATCTTTAACTTTTGATCACCTTATATGTTTTTCTTGCTTCATCAATGACTAGTCTTATTGACGATTTGAAATTTCTGTTAATTAAAGATGTGTTGGATTAGGAGCATGGGCGTAGACGCGTAGTCAGGATCAAAGCTTGGGGTGAGCAATACAAAGATTTTTTCCAGATAAATTTTACACTAAAAATACAAAGAAATTTCAAATTTGGGGTGGATCGGGGTCTGGTTGGCCCCCTCTACTTGCGCACCTGAGTAGGAGCCCTTTTGGTAATATTGAAATTAATAAAATTTTGAATTTTATTTGAAATAAAACCTCAATTTTATTAATTCAAATTATCATTGTTCAACTGATTGGCAATACAATCAGGTGGACTACAAAACAAATAATAACCATACGACATAGAAAGAGCAGCCCTAGCAAGTTTATGAGCTACTACATTCGTTGATCTCTTACAATGTATGTCTTCTATCCTTGCTTCATTACGAAGACTGAATCTAATATCCTCTAACAAAGTATCAAAATAGGAATCCTTGTCCCTTCTTGCCAACCCGGATGCTACCAATAATGAATCTGTCTCCACTTTGACATCATGCCAACCTTGAGACTGAACCCACCTTATTGCTTCACGAACTCCAATTGCTTCTGTTATCCCTGCAGTCCAGCTTGCTTTCGTTGTATGCCATCCACCCTTTAAAAAATTCTCCTATTCGTCTCTTGCCACCCATGCCTAAGCTCGCCTATTCCTTTCCGGATCAAGTGCCGCATCAACGTTTACTTTAATACTTCCCAGTGCCGACTTTTTCCAACCCATGTTTCTGCGCACCGCACTAGCTTCGCCTCCCGCCACCTTCTGAGCTTCTTTCCAACCTCACAAGACTGCCGACCCAATCTCCAGACATTGTTGCCAATTGCCTTCCTTGTTTTTCCAGACCTTATCGTTTCGAATCTTCCACATACTCCACAGGTTAACAATAAAGCAACATAATTCTTCACCCTGCAAATTTTCATAAAAAAACCTTTAACCCAGTTAGTAAAATCTCCCCCCTATATGACAAAACGGAGTCCCAACTTTTGCCAAACCACCTGCGCTACTATGCACTACAGAAACAAATGCTCCTCGGTGTCATCAGCCTCCTCGCAAAGCTTACAAGTTGTGTCCACATCCACTTGCCTTCTGTGAAGGTTGATAGCTAAAGGTAAGACCCCCGACATCAACTGCCAAGCAAAACACTTCATTTTTGGGGGATATGTAGGTTCCATATCTTGGTCGATCTCATCCAACCCCTCAACGCATAATCCCCACGGAGGAGCCTATATCCACTTTTCACTGTACATATTCCCCTATTAACTCCATTCTAGTACACTCCATCAGTCACCTTCCTGATCAGTATTGATAAAATACCCTTCTTATCATCTTCTGAAAAGATTGATTGAATTCTCTCTACATTCCACTGGGTCCCCGCTAGCATTCATAAGGGCTGCCACATTCATATCCACAATTCCAGTAGGTGGCGCTGATCGTACTCGCCCCGAGCCTTCTCCAGGCAACTCTTGAGCCTGTGTAATACTACTTCAAATAAAAGAGGAATTATTTTCCAATATAGCCTGCACAAAGATGAATTAGGGAAATGTTTGGCTTCAAAGATCCTCTCCACTAGCGAGTCAGGATTTTTAGTAATCCTCCACGCTTGCTTGCCTAGCATGGCTATATTAAAATCTCTTATAGATCGGTATCCCATTCCTCCCATTTGCTTAGGCGCACACAAACCCTGCCAACTTTTCCAGATAATTCCTTTCTTGTTCTGTCCTGCACCTCTCCACCAATAATCATTCATAATAATTTCTATTTTAGAGCATAGGTATTTATTTGGCAGTAAGAATACATTCATTGCATAAGTCGGCATTGCCTGTATGACAATTTCAGCACAATTTCCCGCCCTGCCTTTGATAAAAATCCGTTGTTCCAACTTCGAACTCGGCAGACAATACGCTCCTTAAGATAGCTTACAATTTCTTTTTTGTTCCATCCAATCAAAGAAGGTAGACCCAAATAACTAGCAATATTACCTGCAGTTCTCACCCCTAGTAGGTCACAAGTGCTTGTTCTTTTATTCTCTTCCAAGTTCGGGTTGAACACTATAGATGATTTCGGATAGTTCACCATCTGACTAGAACACCGCTCATAAACCTGTAAAATATTTCGGACAGTAGAACATTCACTTTCACTGGCTCTGAAAAATAAACAACTGTCATCAACAAAAAATAAGTGGGATACCCTTGGTGCCCCTCGTGCAACCACAATCCACAGTATATTTCCTTCCCTCTCCTGCTGACGTATCAAGGCACTAACCCTTCCGTCACCAGAATAAATAAATATGGGGATAAGGGATCCCCTTGCCTTAGGCCCCTGCTCAGTATCACTAGTCCAATCATATCATCATCAAAAGGAATAAAGTATTCCACCGTGGATATACACTCCATAATCAACCCAATCCACTTTTCAGCAAAACCCATGGCTCTCATTAAATCCTCCAAGCAACCCATTCAACCCTGTCATATGCTTTGCTCATGTCCAGTTTTAGAGCAACATACCCATCTTTACCCCGTGTTTTTCGTTTCAGGCAGTGTAAATATTCAAAAGCAATCATAACATTATCAATTATCGACCTGCCTGGAACGAAAGCACTTTGGTTTGTGGCAACTAGATCGTTGAGGATGTACTTTAATCTATTTTCCAAAACCTTAGTAAATAATTTAAAAACCACATTGTGCAGAGCTATAGGCCTCCAGTCCCCCATTCCCTTAGGCCTATCTTTCTTAGGAATCAGTACAAGATTAATTTTATTTACCTCTGTTGGGATTCTTCCTATTACCCAGATTGCCCGACATTTTCACAACATCCTCCCCAATAATCTCCCAGTAGTGTTGAAAGAAAGTTGGATTTAGTCCATCCGACCCTGATGCCTTGTCCGGGTACATAACAAAAACCGCTCTCCTAACTTCAATGGCGGTAATCGGTTTTACCAGTTCCTGATTCTGAAGTCACCTGCGCTAGTCCGGTCATAATAATATTCTCTCCCGCCTGCATTTGGAAGTAAACAGCCCCGCAAAGTACTCCTGCACCATATTACCCAATCTTCCGCGGTCCATCTCACACTCTCCATTTGGTAACCTCAGCCCTTTCATCTTGTTTCTATCCCCCTCCCTTAGTGAGAAATCTTTTGCACGTTGCTTCCAATATATGTTTTGTCGTTCCAGGAGATAGACCAACACTTCTTTCACCCAATTGAATTCTATCGCATTCCATCTACCTCCTTCATTTCTCAGCTCGGTTTGTCACGCCCCGGACCTATCCGGACCCGTCAACAATCCGCCGTACAATACAAATAGTCAACCGCAGTCCAACACATCCATATTATACAAGGCGTCTTGAATATCATTCACACATAAGTCATCCATAAACATACATAATAAGTAATTGAATACGCAGCGGAAAACATAGTTTGAAAACCAATGCCACACGGGGCAAACACGAGCACGCGGGCTCCATAATGAAAAACAATATCCATGAGCATGTTTAAAATGTTTAAAAACAGAATGAGGGAAACACTAACCAAGTCTTCCCTCCGAGATGATCGCCCGATCAATAAGCACAGGTAGCAAGCTCTAGCCTCAACCTGAAATGGTGGTGGGACGCCCCCCGAAAGGGGTCAGTACTCTATACGGCTATAAAGTACTGTTGTGGATGGCATCTAATAGATATACAAGTATTTCAAACACAAGACCCTCAAATAGGGTGATAATATAAGTTAGGCCGTAACCCCCAAGTTACCCCTTTTCAAAATATACTTACTTTAGATATAAAGTCAAGTAGTCGACCCGTAGGCCCAAGGTTTGTTTACAAAACATAACCCAAACCCCGTGACCCCTGGTCACAACAATACATACGGTCCAACCCTAACACATAAGTTTGCATTTCTTGAGTCCAACTCAACTACATCACCATGCACCCTATATGACACAAATTAATTACTCCACCGTGCATTTCTTGAGTCCAACTCAACTACATCACCAAGCACATCATAGGCTACAACCTCATATCTCCCATGCATTTCTTGAGTCCAACTCAACTACATCACCATGCATGTCATCAATCACCACGTCATGTCTACCCAATGCAATTCTAGAGCACAGGCTCAAGTACACCTCTTTACATTGGCATAGACCCCAATTCCCAAGCACTCGCTATGCCTAGAATTGTAATATCAATAATCTATTTTGGGACATCCTTACGGACTGCCTCATCATGATCTTACATCATATTACATCAATTAAGTCACTTGAATCACAATCAAGTACATCACTTACAATCAAGTCCTTAGGTTCAATTCCTTAACAATTACAAACAATCATTAACTAGTATTTCAATACTATTAAGATTATTCCTATCTATCATATACTTCATTTGTAAATCCCTACATATTTAGAGATATGTAGCCGCAACTTAATCATCCCATATAATACATAAATAATCATTTATGTATCTACACAATTCACACATGAGTAAAAATGCCTATTTCACACAATAGTTCATTTAACTCCATTTTTATCCATATGATTTCCAAATCATTTTCAATTTCATTCCTTATCTAATATATCA